CAGTTTAACAGTTGAACTCCTGATCCTCAGTCGTCAGGTCCCTTAACAGATATAAGTGAAACGCAATGCATATGAAACACTGATGTAGATGAAACACATCAAGTGATGAGATCAGTTGTAATCGTACAGGGTCAACAACAAATAGTTAGGAAAAGGAAAAGAACCCCCCTCTCCCCCAAAGCTGTAACAAGGATGTTGGCAAGGTCACGTACCAGCAACCCTATTTCTGGGTCTGTTGGCTGTTCACCAAAGGTAAGGTAGAGCTCATTTTCCAAGTGGCTCCACATTCCTGAGGTGACATAGTTTGCAGAGCCAATCCCTGCAAAGAGAGTGGTGATGGCCTGCTGCACATTGGTGAAGTGCAGCTGCTTGGTGGTGGCATCTAGGATCCTGCCAAAAAGCACCCTCACCATCTTGGTGGAGAGTGCATGGCCAGGGAGGGGGACATGTTGAACTGGGGCCTTCGTAAGTGCAGGGACAGAAGCAGTGGTGGGGGCTGGTTCAGGGGGGACCACCGGGTTGTGGCAGTGCGCTATGGGGGCAGCAGTTGGGGTGGGCATGGCCAGAGGGGCAGGCTGGTAAGCCTGCCCCCCCTTTGCTGCCTTCATACTGGTGGAGCCTACCTTCTGGATTTGCAGGGTGGGGCCTCATCTATTGCGCTGTCCTTGGGCAAGCTGGAATGCCATCGTCAGGTCAATGTCAGGGACGACCGATCTGATGTCCACTACATTATGTAGGACTCCCCAGTCCTCAGGTGCATCTAGGGAGAACTTGCTGATCTGGCTACTACCACCTGTGGCTTCAGAGACTGAGTGCAGGAGGTGGCGGTGGATGGGAGGGGATGCTTGGTGCCCTTGGGAGGTGGCATGGGCTCCTGAATAGTGATGGCCTTCTCCTTCCCCTTGGCAGAGGAGCTGGCAGTGGTGGCAGCATACCTGGGGACATTGGCAATCCCCTCAATGCATATAGTCAGAGCTTTGAGTGTAGCTGTGTTCCCTGCTATGGCTTGCCCAATGGTCTTGATCTTCTTATCTAGCACCTTCTCAATGCCTTCTGCAAATCATTGCAGATTGCAGTCAACCTGACCCTTTGCCTCAGCAATGCGCTTCCAGTGTCCCAGCTGTCCCACTGCATGGGAGAGGGCCAGGTTTTGTAGAGCCAGATCAATGCTGACAACATTGTTGATCGAAATCTGAAGACTACCCATCACCACAACAATCAACCTCCATTTAATATTGAGAGCCTCAGGATTGAAGGTCTCAACATCCTGGGTGATGGTCTGCTGGAGTTGCTTCTAGTTTGTTGTCACTGCAATGGTCATATTTTCAAGGGAGTCCTGCATCACCATAATGAGGTCCTCCACCGTATATTTCCAGTCTGGGTCTTCCTCATCCACCTTGTGCACACAGAAAATCGTGTATTGCTGGGTGAGGAAGAATTCCTGAGTAGTGGGCATAGGGACTGGTGACTCCACACACAATCCTGCTGCCGACTGCTGAGGGTATGGGGTGTTAGTCGTTATTGGATAAGCACCAGGATAATCACCCACCTGCTCATCACTGGTGAGATTGCTCAAATCCCCCTCATCATCCCCACACATCGCATTGGGATCCTGGGCAGGATTAGGGAGGCCTTGGTCAGAGACTGTGGTGTGGTTGTCCCAGGCAAAGACATCAAATATCGATGCTCTGATCGTCTTGTCCTCATGGACAGGGATGTGTGTGCGCAATGCTGCACAGGAGGTTCCAGATGGTGCTGGGTAAGGAGAAAAGCGGGGGCCTTTGGTGCCACCTGCTGCATGCGGGTGACCCACAGTACATTGAGGCATGCTGTTGACAGCATAGGGTGCACCAGTAGAGGAGGAATAGGAGTGGGGTTGTGACATGGCAGCAGGCATCTAACTGAGATAGTGGTGGTTGAGGTGCAAGAAGTGGCATCCAAGCAGCTGTTCAAACACACTGGTATCTATAATTGTCAGCATATGCTGCAAATCTCTCCAAGTCAACATACTATTGCTGACTGGCTTTGCACTCAGGCTATGGCTCAGACTTGGTTGCAAACATCAACAAGCAGCGGTAGCAGCAAGGGAAGACTGGCTGGCAACAATACTGGTTCACAAGCAGCAGCTGCTGCTGGGCAGGCTGCACAGCCTGCATCAACCTCTCACACAAAAGCCACAAAATGGAAGCATGAAGAGGTCATTCAGCTGTTTGATTTCTTGTATGAGCATTGTGCCCAATCAGGAGATGGCAGCAACTTCAAGATTGCAGTCTTCAACAAGGTTTCAATCCAATTCTTGCAGATGGGGTTGCCCAAAACTGGAAAAGCCTGTCCACATACTGTATATTCTGTAAACATATTAATGATTTTATGTCAATATAGCATCTCCATCACTTATTATAAGCCAAATTGAATCACTCTCACCATCTGACTCAGCATCTACACCACTGAGTCAGAAGTGGAAGATACCTGATTCTACAGTACCTCCAGTATTACAGAATTTCTTAGCTTCTATCTTATCTTAGTGGTTAGATGATCTACATCTCATCTGATTAGATATCTCACTAGATAAGGATAGTGTAATAGATAGTGACATGTTACTAGTCAGGTGGTTATCCCATCAATTGGGAAAGGCTATGGAATATCCCCATCACACCTAGAACCACACCAGGCTGTTCAGGTGATCATCATTGTTGTGCTACTGACTCAACACAAGGCAGAGTGTTCACATATCAGGTTTTCTTAGATAGCCTATGGTGTATTGGGAGCATCAGTTAGCTAAGTGTTAGGTGTACTACCAGTAGTGTTAGGGGTCTGGTCTCTCATGTATAAATACCAGAGCAATACAGTGTAGAGAGGTCAGACTGATTATATTGTCTACTGTTCTCTACTTCACATCACAATCCTCTGAGCTTAACAGCTCTTATAAAGCTAAGACCAACCGCCTTTGCCTATATCAACTACCAACACCATTAGTGAGTGTTTGGGGTTAGGGTTTTGCTTTGTCAAGTATCAGAGGGCATACTTTGACATCTAGCTTCATCTACAATCTCATCACACACATCATCAAAGAAGGCTCACACTAGTTAGGATGATAATCATGTGCAGCTGCTAAAACAAATTAGCAATGATTTCAATAAAAATATAGACACTGGGATGGCTGAGATTGTTGAAAAGCTGGGTCCTATTACTGTCACTACTTCTACTTCAGCTTCTATCCTAGAGCAGAAAAATCCAATGCATGAGGTTTCAGCTTGGATTCAGACAGAGCACTGGTTGAAGCTGATACAGTGTGTCAGACTTCTCAAGGCCTTTGCTTCTAATTCATCTGCAGATCTCTTTCTTACTGCTAGTGATCAGGTCCAGTGACACAGAATTTCATAGCATCTATCTTATCTTAAGCATCTAGATGATCTATATCTTATCCAATTAGATATCTGCCTAGATAAGGGTAGTGTCATGCATGGTGACATATTACTAGTCAGGTGTTCAGCTTATCAGA